CAGCTGCAGGGAGAGCCTGGTGGGGTGTGCCCTGGGGATTTGTGACTCGAATGTCCACCTCCCAGCTCCCAATGACACAGACAAGGCCACGCGGCTGGGTGGTCAAGGCCCCAATTTGCTGACAAACCTCAGAGCTGATGGTTGCATGGTCCCCAGCTTCTACCTATGCTGGGCCTCCCCAGTCTCCTTTTCAAAAGGGAAGTCGGGCCAGGTGGCCCCTCAGGCTCTGGGGTTCCAGGAGGGAGGTGGTGCAGGAGGAGGTGGGCCTGGGCACCCACTCCCTGGGGTGAGGGAGCTGGGGGTCCGAGGGAAGAGTGGCTCCCTCTCTTCCACAGGTCCTGGCCCAGTCTTAGGGGGCCACCAGTCCTCCCAACAGAACCCCAAGTGCAAGACTGGACTCTTAAAGTGTGAGGAACCACCCAGAGGGTGTGTGTTTCACAGGGGAAGGCTGTGGGCATGCAGCAGCCTAGCCCCAGCCCGGCATCCCCCAGAGTCTTGTGGAATGGGCACCAGTCCCTTCCCATTTGGAATCTGCACAGCCAGGCCTCCATGCCCTCCCAGGCTTCCAGCTCCTTTGCTGGGCTCTGTGTGGTGGTGGTGGGTCCCATGTAGGAACCAGGCCCGTTCCCAGCTGTTGGCTCTGGTGGGGATCTTAGACCCCACACAGGGACAGTGGGAGAGGTGGATGGACGCTGCCCTCATCCACGTGGCCCACAGGCAGCGGGACCTAGTGCTGGTGTCTGTGACCAGGCAACCTATGGTGGCCACAGTGAGCTCCACAGGCCCAGGTGTGGGAGCAGACCCAGTGATGCCCTGCCCACAAGAAGTCCACTTCCAGAATTCCCCCCAGGTCCTCGTCATGGTCTGTCTCCAGCTGCAGTCTGTAGCACTCAGGCACTGCCACCATAGAAAATAGGGTGCTCTCAGGAGGTATGTGTGGTTAAGTTTATAGAATCTGCTGCCACCTCGCTGTGTGACCTTGGACAAGCCACTCAACCTCTCTGTGCCTTCTTTTCCTCATTGCCAAATGAGGCTGATCATCCTGGTAGGGGACACAGCGGATGCTTAGTCACATCCATGGGCATTGCCAGCAGGATCTGGATGTGTGGCCACTCCATGGTCCATGTACCTCCCACAGCCCACAAGGGCCCCTCTGCTCCCTTTTTCAAGTGCCCTGAATTGGGCTGCAGAGGATGGCTTCCTGTTGGGCCCGTGTGGTTCTCACAAAATGACAGTGTCTAGGGCTCCCAGAGGAAGCACCCTGGGGCCTGGCCCAGGCCCAGCCCCAAGCAGCTGCAACTGAGGCCTCAGAAGCCTAGAAGAACCAGGGCCCGAGGGTGCCCTGTGCAAGGCCACCCTTGTCCCTGCCCCACTCACCCAGGTTGTCCCCAGACCCTGGTCACAGGAGGGGACCCTGAATGAGCCTCAGCCCCTCCCAGCCACCCGATGTCATCTTGCTTGGATGGAAACATTTTTATCCCCATGCCTGACACTTCTGGGTGGCATCTGCACACGTGGCTATGTGCGGGTGTGCTCCGGAGCACAACTGTTGTCAACCTTAATTTTTTTAGTTTACAAGAACTTTTGTTGTCTGGAGTGAAACTTGGGTAGAGTAGAGATGGGCAAGCCAAAGACAGGTGACTCTGGTTCCACCTAGCGCCAGATGAGCAGCAAGAGGAAGGTGGGGATTTTGCTCACCTGTGGAGATGGTGCCCCCAAATCAGACAAGACAGAGCCAAGGCTCCCAGAGGGGGTGCAGCTGTCCAAGATGATTTTAGGGGCCACCTAGATGAACAGTTTTTAAACTAATAGTCATGAGTTGAAATGTGCATCAGAAAAAAATACAGCTGAGTACATCCAACCGGGATTCATGGCCCTTCCTGCTCAGAAGGCGGCACAGTCCGTTTAAAGAAAAATGCCAAGTGAATGACATACGGGGGGTCGAGTGGTTCTCTCTGGCAGCCTTTGGACCAAGGAGGTGCTGATGGGGGCGCCCTGTCCTGCATGGTTTGAGGGTCCGCCTGGGGCCACCATCTTTGTCCTACTGATGTCCTCCCCAGGATGGCCCCCCACACGGTTTTGAGGTGCTGGTCTGGTCTGGATGGTGACACCCCAGGGGGCTCACCTGAAGACACTGGGAGTGCTGCCCTAGTACCATGACTGAAAGAGGCCAGTGGGGTGAAGTATAAGCGATGATGGGGAGAGGACTAGGGACTGGATCACACCAGACCTGAAGGCCGTGGCAAGGATTACAGATGTAGTCACTCATTTTGTTAACATTTACTGAGCTCCTGCCCTGCACTAGGTGTGCAGGAAGAGTACAGAGCCATAGAACCTTCCCTCCAAGTGCCTCCATCTGGTGGTAGGCTTTTGAACACAAAGAGGAAGAGGGGCTGCCAGGTGTGATATTTGAGCAGTGATGTGTGAGCTGGGTTTTGAGGGATAAGTACGAGTTTGACATGAGAGAGAGGAAAGGCATTCCTGGCAGAGGGAAAAGGAAAAGCAGAGGCATAGAGGTACAAAAAAAGTCAGGATCTTGGAAAATGCTGGCAACTAGAGCCACGGTGAAAAGTGGAAAGAGGAGAGGCCAGAGGACCAAGTTCATAGAAGGTCTTGAGGCCCAGGCCAGAGTTGAGGTCTCATTCCAAAGGCTGGGAGGAGCTGGGGCCCTGGTTTGTGTGGGAGTCACACCCACATTCAGAGGGAGGCCCCTCTGCTGCGAGTGCTGGCCAGGTTGGGTGACAGGACACGAGCATGGCCCCAAGGACCAGGAGGCCCTTTTCATGTTCCTGAGGGGGCCTGCAGAGCCTGTCCCTCATGCACCCCAGCTCCAGCTGACACAGTGCCCGGAGTGGGAGCTCTGGGGCGTGGGCTGGCTCGGGAAGCCTGCCTTGCACCAGTGGAAGCCCAGAGTCCTTTCCCAGCAGTGCAGATTCCAGCCCGCTGGGCTGTGGCCTGGGGCCAGTGCAAACAGGAAGAGACCACGGTAGGCTGGGCAGGGCCTGCCTTTGTTTGGAGAAGAGTTGTGGGCTGGAGGCTGCGGGTCTTTCTGTTGCTGCATGGGAGGGGGCAGCAGGCGCGATGGGGAAAGGGAACCAAGGTACAGGGTACCTGGCCAGCACCTACCGGCGCCAGGCACTGCGATGATGGCTGCTCTTGGCAAATTCTACCCTGCAGAGGGGGACTGGGAGCACACTCGACAGCGCCCTTGGGGTCAGCATTCCCCTGTCGCTGTGCTCAGACACCCAGCTTCCTGCTGGTGCCCTGGCAGTCTGCAAGGCCTGATGGGGCTGCTGCCAGCCACTGCTGGGGAAGTTCAGGTCGGTCCCCACCAAGGCCCAGGTTGGTCTTTGGAGCTGGGGTGCTGCACATAGAGCACCCTTGATGTGCAGAGTGGACCCCAGGATTCCTCCAAAGGAGATGCTGGCCTCTGTAGGCCAGGCAACCATGTGTGCCTGAGTGAATCATGCATTTGACACAACTTCCTGATGTCTGTGGGGGGCAGGAGGTAGCAGGTGTGCAAGGCCCCCAGGAGTGGATGGCATTGAGTCCCATCCAGCCTAACAGGAGCCCCCCTGTGTCTGTTGTGGCAGAAGGAAGGCCCCGAGAAGGGGTTGACAGTTCTTGTGGGACTCGTGCCAGGCAGCGATGGATGCAGTAGAGGCTGGGAAGACCTGGGTCAGGGAGTTTCTCCTTGATTGACTCAGTCATTCTTCCATCTGGGCATTCGTATATCCACTCAGTGAATACACACTGAGCTCCTACGATGTGCCTGACTCCCTACCAAGTGCTGGTAGCAGAAAGAACCAAGGGCCTGCCCTTACAATGCCTGAAGTCCATGACTTAAATTATCCTCACACTGGTCCAACAGAATCCTGTGCAGTTATAGCCTTTCAGAAGAGGTTATGGTGCTGACAGAGCTAATAGAGCTTGGCCTGCCCAAGGAGGTCAGAGTGGCTTCTCTAAGGAGGACTTGACAGACAAATGGGAATTACGCAAGGCAAGAGGGAAGCAGAGTGGATCCAGGCAGCAGGAATGGCATGTGCAAAGGCCCTGTGGTAGAGGGGCTGGGTGAATGCCAGAGTTGCTGGAATACTGTGATGGGGGAAGCTGGTGAGGATGAGGCTGGGAAGTGGGCAGGATGACTGACTGCTCCTGGCCTTGGGGGGGTCCCTGAGGGAGGTCTGCTTGGATACAACAGAGCAAAAGGGAAGTTTGAAGTAGTGTCATAAAGTGATACAGTGTATGTGCTGGCAGAAGCAGGAGCCCAGAGGGTGCGGCAGGGTCCACAAAAAAAGGGCATAATGAGTGGGGTGTGGGAAGAGGTGAAGGATCAGGCAGTGTGTAGGGGATGGAGAATGGGAAGGGCAATAATAAGTATCGTTTCCTTGTCAGGGTAGATTTTATGAGAATGATAAGTGCTATCTTTTTTTCTACCCAGGATAGATTAAAAAGGCAGTTTCGAGCTTGGGATAAGAGGGAAGAGAATAGCGGGATGTGGTGTAGCACATGAGTAATCCCAGCCCTCTGGGAGGCTGAAGCAGGAAGATCGCAAGTTTGTGCCCAGCCTGGACAACTTAGTGGCTTAACAAGAACCTGTCTCAAAATAAATGAAAAAGGCTTGGAGATGTAGCTCAGTCGAAGGCTGTAGGTTCAATCTCCAGAAAGCTAAAATTTCCTGCTCAATGTCACAGCTGGGAAGAAATGAAGTCTCCACTAGCCTGCTTACCTTTAAAAAACCTGAGCACACCAGCTGCTGGCCCTCTGCTGGGGGTGAGGGGAGGAGGATGTGCCTGTCAAGGGGGAAGGGTGGGGACCCTGGCCGGGAAGTCCTTCCCTGAGTCCAACTCGGTCCTGCTGCTGCCCTCCCACCACCTCTGCTCTTCGGTGGGGGCAGATTGGTGCCACCCCGGCGCCTCCTCAGCTGGCAATTGATAACCCGACTTTGCTCTCAGCAGGCGCCCCTGAGTAGAGCAGCTCCCGGAGCTCTGTGCATTGCTCCTGGATTGCCTCTCGGAGCTGGGGGCAGAGCACACCCCTGCACAGGCCTGTGACCTTCGCCTGTCTGATCCCTGGTTAATTTTTGCCTGGTGCAGCAGCTGTGAGGCTCCGCCCCCCTCCAGGATATAAGCCTGGTTCCCGGCTACTTCGTCCTCTGCTGCGCCGAGCTGCCCCAGCTCCCTGCCCACCCGCACCATGGCCAAGGGCTTCTACATCTCCAAGTCCCTGGGCATCCTGGGCGTGCTCCTGGGCGTGGCAGCCATCTGCACCATCGTCGCTCTGTCTGTGGTGTATGCCCAGGAGAAGAACCGGAACGCCGAGAACTCTGCCACGGTCCCGCCGCCTGCCACCTCCACCTCCCCAGCCACCACCGTGGACCAAACCAAGCCATGGAACCAGTACCGCCTACCCAAGTCGCTGGTCCCTGACTCGTATCAGGTGAAGCTGAGGCCCTATTTCACCCCCAATGAGCACGGCCAGTACATCTTCCAGGGCAACAGCACCGTCCGCTTCACCTGCCAGGAGGCCACCGACCTCATCATCATCCACAGCAAAAAGCTCAACTACACAACCCAGCAGGGGCACCACGTGGTCCTTCGGGGCTTGGGCGGCTCCCAGGCCCCTGCCATTGATAGGACCGAGCTGGTAGAGCGCACCGAGTACCTGGTGGTGCACCTGCGGGGCTCCCTGTCGGTCGGCAGCCAGTACGAGATGGACAGTGAGTTCCAGGGGGAGCTGGCCGGCGACCTGGCGGGCTTCTACCGCAGCGAGTACACGGAGAACAATGTGCTGAAGTGAGTTTGCTGGCCCGTGGTGCTGCTGGAGTCGGGCTGTTTGAGGGTTTGAGCTTGAGGCCTTTGAACACTCCGGAGCCCTCAGTAGCCCACTGTTGGTCTAAAGCTGCTGTAGGACAGCTACCCTCATGACAGACAGGGAGGGCTGGCTCCTCACCTTCATGGGGGGGGCGTGTCAGGGGTGGGGGCGGAGGGGTTCCTCAGACAGACAGAACTGAGGCTTGGAGGCCCAGGCTTCCCAGCTGGTACAGGGACAGGTGTCAGCCTGCCTGGCAAAAGTCCCTGGATCCTGGGGGAGGCGAAGGGCAGGGGCGGGGCTGGGTCTGGACAGCTTTCTGTGCATCCCTTCCTCTGCACACCCAAGGGCCCCTAGAAGCCCCAGCCCCGCCCCCAACACACCCTCTGACACCCTGGTTTGGGCAGAGTGGTGGCCACAACGCAGATGCAGCCTACGGATGCCCGGAAGTCCTTCCCCTGTTTTGATGAGCCAGCCATGAAGGCCACGTTCAACATCACACTCATCTACCCGAAAAACCTCAATGCCCTGTCTAACATGCTTCCCAAAGGTGAGCGGCTCTGTCCTGGGGCCACACGGCCTGGGAGGCAGGGATGTGAGCCCAGCATGCCGGGCAGGACAGAGAGTGCATCCCCACATGCTTATACTGTATGTATGGCCCATGCCTAGGCTCCAGTATCCCACTTTCGGAAGACCCCAACTGGATCATCACTGAGTTCAACACCACACCCAAGATGTCCACCTACCTGCTGGCCTACATCATCAGCGAGTTCGACAACGTGGAATCACTGTCGCCTGGTAATGTCAAGGTATGAGGCTGGGCATGTGTGTCCTCGGCCTGGCCTGGCCCTGGCTGCTGGGACAATCTTGTTCCCTCACCCCTGTGCCAACTCCTGAATTATTAGGCCACTGAGTCCTCGCTCTGACTACTCCCAGACGCTTGTCAAGTTCTCTGAGCCTTAGCCTCTGTATCTTAAAAGTGGGAATCATGGTTGCTCTTTATAAAGGAAGCTTCTGACCCAGAAGTGCCAGATGGATGGAAAGGCTGCTCTTAGACCCAGACCCCATCAAAGCCTAACTGCTTTTTCTGCTGACCAGGCCTCTTAGTAGAACAGGGTTGGTCCCCCAGCTGTGGGCCCCCAGGGACCTCCCCATCCACTGGGCCCTGGGACTCAGCTCCTCTTCCCCTGACCCTCATCCGTGGCTGCCCACTTTACAGATCCGGATCTGGGCCCGGCCCAGTGCCATTGCTGAGGGCCACGGTGCTTATGCCCTCAATGTAACGGGCCCCATTCTAAATTTCTTTGCCGAACATTATGACACGCCCTACCCACTGGAGAAATCTGGTGAGTGGGGGGTCTTGGGTGGGCAGTGGCTGGTGGGGTCCCCACTGAGACCCTCCCACCAATGGCCTGATCCTCCACAGACCAGATCGGTCTGCCTGACTTCAATGCTGGCGCCATGGAGAACTGGGGGCTGGTGACCTACCGGGAGAACTCACTGCTTTTCGACCCAGAATCTTCCTCCATTGGCAACAAGGAGCGGGTGGTCACTGTGGTCGCTCATGAGCTGGCCCACCAGGTAGCCCCATCCTGGGGTGCAGGAAGGAATTGGAGATCCTGAGAGCAGAGGGCACAGGCCTTAGCTCTGGCCTGAGTCGCAGAAGACAGGGAGGGAGCCCCCTGGAAGGGTCCCTGGTAAAGTCCCTGGCATTGGTTAGTGACGGAAAGGCCAGTGGGCCTACTGGGCTGACCCCTGTCCCCACAGTGGTTTGGGAACCTGGTCACAGTGGAGTGGTGGAATGACCTGTGGCTGAATGAGGGCTTTGCCTCCTACGTGGAGTACCTGGGTGCCGACTATGCGGAGCCCACCTGGAATCTGGTGAGCAGGTGCCCGGGGGGTGGGCAGGGCACGGGTCACCTGAGTTGCAGTCCCAGCCCAGTCTCCTGATGGCTGGTGCTGGGCATCTGCAGAAAGACCTCATCGTGCTGAATGAAGTGTACCGCGTGATGGCCGTGGACGCGCTGGCCTCCTCCCACCCACTGTCCAGCCCTGCCGGGGAGATCAACACACCAGCCCAGATCAGCGAGGTCTTCGACACCATCTCCTACAGCAAGGTGTTGCCCCCGCCTCCGTGCCCCCTAACTCAGGACTCACCCCTCCCCTAGAGCCTCATGATGGCTAGACGGCCTGCTGAGTCCCCTGTCGTCCCACCCCAGGGTGCCTCAGTCCTCAGGATGCTCTCCAGCTTCCTGACGGAGGACCTCTTCAAGAAGGGCCTGGCGGTGAGTATGGTGCCCCTAAGGAAGCCCTGGGAAGGGTGCCCCTTGCCCTGCCCCGCCCGTGCCCCAGCCTTGGGGCACCGGCTCACCCCTCATGGTCTGTCCCCCACAGTCCTACCTCCATGCCTTTGAGTACCAGAACACCGTCTACCTGGACCTGTGGGATCACCTGCAGAAGGTGGGTGGCGCTCATGGGAGAGAGAGGGTGCCCGGCACCCTCCTTCCCAACCCGGCAGCTTACCCTGGGCCCCTGCTGTAAAGTGGGTGCACTGACGGCCCTCTCGGGGGTAGGCAGGAGAGACCGCAGGGGTCACACCCTCTCCTGCAGCCTGCACCAGGTCTAGCGAAGGCTCCGTGGTAGGGAGGACAGGGGCCCTTGGGGTCCCCAAGTCTGAGACCTCCTTCTTCGGGGACTTTGGAGCTGGCTTTCAACGGACTCCATGCTCCTGGCTGCCCTGTGCCCGGGGTGGGCGGCCCCTCCCAGGTGCAGATCTGCACACCCTAGCACCCTGGGCACAAACTCTGACCCTCAGCTCCTGCCCAGTCTGCATTCCACACCCAGGGGCCCCTATGGAGGGGGCAAGGCCTCTGGAGGCCACTGCCCCACCCTGCCTCTCCCGGGCCAGAGTCCGAACACACCAAGGTCCACGCCATCTCCTCTCCCTGCCCGGCTGCCCCATCCCCACACCCCTTGCCTGTCCCCAGACCCCCTCCCTTGAAGCTCTAGCATTCCTCCTCTCCCTGCACTTCACCCCTCCAGAACCAGGACCCTGTTTTCCCATCACCTGCCCCCACCACTGTGCCATTCCGGATGGTACATCACTGCCCTTCCAGTCACCACGGCCAGTTCCATCCTAGCTGGGCTGCAACCCACAGGAAATGGGCCGAGCCGGTCCACCTCCCCCACCCCGGTCTCTAGGGACAAGATGGTGCCACCAAGGCAAGGTTGAGCCCTCCTTCCACCTGAGTCCAGCCCCCTTCCTCTCTGTCCGGATGCTGTCGGTCTTGTGCTGTGTCTGGAAAGCCAAGGCACATTGTGCGTGGAGAAGAACTGGAAGACCCCAGGCACAATGCCCTGGCCTGACCCTCCTGGCTGGCTGTACTTCCTCACACCCCACCACCCTGTCCCTCACCTCTGCCTGTGACTTTTTTTTATTAAAGACAAGGTCTCACTATGCAATTCAGGGTGGCCTTCACCTCACATGTAGGCCAGGCTGGCTTTGAATTTGAAGTGATCCTCCAGCCTCAGCCTCCCAAGTGCTGGGATTATAGGCGTGCACCACCATGCCTGGCATTGCCTGTGACTTGGAAGCTGCTATCCGCTTTCCCTTTATCTCTTTTTTTTGGTACTCTGGACCTTGCCCTTGCAAGGCAGGCAGCAGAACCACTGAGCTAAATTCCTGGCCCCCCTTTATCTCTTTCTGCTGTTCCTTCTCAGCCTTCCTACATTGTTTAGAAGAAATAGGTAGTGGAGTGTGCTGGTGACTGCCTGTAATCCCAGCACTCTAGGAGGCTGAGGCAGGAGGATTAAAAGTTTGAGCCCAGTCTATGCAATTTAACAAGACCCTATCTCAAAATAGAAAACAATTTTAAAAGGGCTGGAGATAGCTCAGTGTGAAGGCCTTGGGTTGAATCCCCACTACTGCAAAGTGTGTGTGTTGGGCTGTATCCAGGGCGCCCAACAGACAGGCCTGGGTCAGTCCTCCAGCTTGCCCGGCGCTGGCTGAGGGCAGCAGATGGCAGCGCGGATTCCTTCTTTCTCACCTCCACAGGCCGTGAACAACCAGTCAGCAGTCAGCCTTCCGGCCAGCGTGCGTACCATCATGGACCGCTGGATCCTGCAGATGGGCTATCCAGTCATCACCGTGAACACCAACACTGGGGACATCTCCCAGGAGCACTTCCTCCTTGACCCCAAAGCCAATGTCACCCGCCCCTCAGAGTTCAAGTGAGTAGATGGGTTCTCTGAGGCATGGCTTCTGGGGAGGGAGGAGATGGGCCGTGTGGAGAGCGGTCACGTTGGGCCCCTTGACCATGGTGGGACTGTCCTGGGGTGCATGGCAGTAGCCTGGGCAGGGCTGCTTCTCACTGGCAAAGGCCGAGGGCTGCTGCCCCTTACCCCTGGCCTCTGGGCTCTTGTTGTAGCTACCTGTGGATCGTGCCCATCTCGTCCATCAGAAGTGGCGCACAGCAGGAGAACTACTGGCTGAACAGCAGCCAGAAAGGTAATGCAGCCCATCCCCCTAGCTTCTGCCCCAGTTCTGGGGTTACAGGGGGCCTTAGAATTTCCTTCATTATTCAACAAACAGAGCCAACTTCTGTTCTGTGTCTACTTTGCTGCTTCCTAGCTGTGTAACCTTGGGCAAGTTACCATCCCTCTCTGGTCTCCCTTTCCTCATCATAAAGTGCGGCTAAGAGGAGTATCCACTCCATGGGGTTGTGTGAGGATTAAAGGAGAGAAGTCACATAAAATCCTTAAAACAGCCCAGCACTCAGCAGCCCTCCTTGGCCAGGAACTGAGGAAGTAAAAGTCCAGGCAATTCATTCTCAGCTTTGGCCAAGGCTATAGGTAAAGGGAAGGAAGACAAGCAGCTCAAAGCATTTCAGCCAGGCACGGTAGTGCACACCTGTGTTCCCAGCACTCTGGGAGGCTGAGGCAGGAAGATATTCTAGTGCTGTGCTGAGTACCTCACAGAGTGTGTGGTCCCATCCCTTGGCAGAAGCTGGGACTAAGGGAAATCCAGGCTCCTGGAGGAGGAGTGGAGGCTCTGGGCCCCCACATGTCCCTCTAAGCAGCCCCTGCCTGCCCTGTTCCTCCCTGCAGCCCAGGACCAGCGGTTCAGGGCAACAGGAGCAAATGAGTGGATTCTGCTGAACCTCAACGTGACCGGCTACTACGAGGTGAACTATGATGAGGACAACTGGAAGAAGATCCAGGATCAGCTGCAGGCGGACCCTTTGGTGGGTGTCGTCCACTCCCCCCTGGCCCGGCCCAGGATGGGGCACCAGACCACAAGGCCTGCGCTCGCGTCAGCCCGCACTCATGCGCTGCTCCCTTCCAGGTCATCCCTGTCATCAACCGGGCGCAGGTCATCTACGATGCCTTCAACCTGGCCAGGTGAGTGCCCACAGCCTCACCCAGCACTCACCCATCTCCACCATGAGGGGTCTGGCACAGAGTTGGGGTGTCGTGATTGAGGTCACACAGTGCCATGTGACCCCAGATGCAGGCCTGTCCACCCTACGGCCCACACTCTATTCCACAAACTCTGGCCCAGGCCACCATGCTGGGGCCCAACAAACCTGGGCTGGGCAGGGCAGGGGGAAGAGAGAGCAGATGGACAGATACTTACTGAGCACTTCCTCTGGTCATAGCAAGGGGCTCAGCGCCCTGACAAGAGTGACATCAGCCCCGGATGTGGACAGCTGTGGGGCAGATGTGCATCCTGGCCTAAGGACGAGGAGTGGGGCGGCTGTGAGGGCCCCGCTGGGCAGAAGGGGTCGGCCAAGTGAAGAGCACAGTAGCCTGTTTTCCTTCTGAACCTCGGCTCTGTCTCCTGTGAGCTGTGTGACCTGGGGAAGTCAGCTCATCTCCGAGCCTTGGTTTCTGTCTGTAAAATGGATATAATAAGCAAGGGACTGTGACTAGCAGAAGTTAGGGCAGGGCCTGGTTTGTGGAACCCCTGGCACCTGTGTCCCTCTGTCCGTCATGGCAGATCTTGAGCTGGCCCAGCTCGGGCTCAGGGCACTCAGGCTCCAGGAGGGGCAGCCAGCCACGGTTGAGGTGAACCCCTGAGGGGTTGGGCTGGGGCTCCCAGGGCGTGGCCGGGCTGGGTAGGGGGCTGACTTGGGCCCTTCTGTCTGTCCCCAGTGCCCATAGGGTCCCTGTCACACTGGCTCTGGACAACACCCTATTCCTGATTCAAGAGACGGAGTACATGCCCTGGCAGGCAGCACTGAGCAGCCTCAACTACTTCCAGCTCATGTTTGACCGCTCCGAGGTCTATGGCCCCATGAAGGTACTGGCACAGGACAGTGGTCAAGAAGCAATCCACACTGGGCAAGGTGTCACAGGGCTGCAATCCCAGCTATTTGGAGGCTGAGGCAGGAGGATCGCAAGTTCCAGCCCAGGCTGGGCAACTTAGTGACTTAACAAGGCCCTGTCTTACAATTGAAAAAAAAAAAGAGGGCCAGAGATTTAGCTCAGTGGCTCTGTGCCTGCCTTGCAAGTGCAAGGTCCTGAGTTCGATCCCTGGTACCAAAAAAAAAAAGAAAGAAAAAAAGAGGAAGCTAGAAATATAACTCACTGCAAAGGCTCCAGATTCAACCCCTAGAACCCACACCCCCAAGACTATAATAAATAAATAATAAAAGGAAAAGGGTCGGGGACTTAGCTTAGTGTTAAGAGCACTCACCTACGATGTGTAAGCTCTTGGGTTCCATCCCCAGTCCTGGAAAAACAAAATGAAACCAAAAAGAACCAGTTCACTCCAGTGCCTGAAATCACATCATTAGAAAATTAATAGAAAAATTGCCTGGCCAGATCTCTCCCTAGAGCAGACTTGGCAACAGTGAGAAATCTGAGGGACGTAGGGAGTGAATGGGACCCGAGGAGGTGAGGCAAAGGGCACAGGGCCTTCTAGCTGATCGGAAATATGGGAACTACAACGGTGCCTTGGTTCATGAACCCTTTTGTTTGGAAACAATTTGGTTTGCAAATAGAAGTGATTGGCAAAATTTTGTTTTTTACAAACTCTGCATCAGGTGTCAAACACGACCTCGGCCATCTTTCCCACATAAACACAAACATGGCCATCTTTTCCAAAATCATGGAACAAATTAAGTTTGTGAACCTAGATGCCCCTGCACCCCTGTACTACTTTGGAGGGCGCAGAGGTGGCTGTTGTGCTAGGAGGCAGAAGACTGTCTTGTCTCGTAGGGGGCACATTTTCCAGGCGCTCTGTGAGGGCTTGTGACACTGGGCTTTCAGAGGTCCAGTGTCTGAAATGTCTGCCTTCAATTTTCACTCTGGATTCAGTGGGCTTTAAAAGCTTGGAGATTGGAAATCGTTCCTCAGAATGGGTACTGTCTTGCTCTGTTGACATCAGGCTTCCTGGGCTGCTGGTGAGAAGCCCAGACTCTGTCTCATTTCCAGTTCTTGGGACATGACCAATTTTCCCTCCTTCTGGAAGCTTCTGGACTCTTCTCTCAATAGTGGTGGGCCTTGGTTTGGGTCTTTCTCATGCTTCTACTTTTTTCAGCATGGACACTCGTGTCTTTCAGTATTAGAACAGTTTTGCCTTGTTTCTTTCAACTTTCTTCCTGGAATGCCTGTTAATCCTCTTATTTCTTCACTTTCTCCTTTCACATCGCTTCACTTTCCAGGTGGTGGACTTTTTGCCCTGCCCTCTGGGAGGCTCCCTCGCCTGCAGACTGTGTGTTTGTCTTCCATTGCATCTTGAAATTTCTGAGTGCACTTTCTGGTTCTGGCGTCCCATGTAGTCTCTTCCCTTTGTCTTGGAGGATGTTTGTTCCAGGCTTTTTGAAGTTTTCTTTTTCTTCTGTTGAACTTGTTTCCTCTTCGTTTTCTGTTTGTTTTGATCTCTTTCCAAGCTGAAGGCTGAGCTGCCCTTCTGGATTCCAGGGCTTACTTTGGCAGCACACACACTAAGACTGGAACGCCAGGGGGAGGATTAATGTGCACTGATGTTGTGCAAAATCGTAAAGTGGTCTGCATTTTTAAATTTGAGTTTTAAAAACTTTCAGGCCTGGTGTGTTGGCACCTGCTTGTCATCCCAGCACTGTGGGAGGCTGAGACAGGAGGACTGCAAGTTGGAACCCAGCTTGGGTAACTTACTGATTTAGAGAGACTTTAACTCAAAATAAAAAATAAAAAAGGGCCAGGATGAGCCGGGGATTTAGCTCAGTGGTTCCACCGCCTGCCTCTCAAGTGCAAGGTCCAGAGTTCAATCTCTAGCACTAAAAAATAAAAGGGCCAGGGGATAGTTCAGTGCAAAGACCTTGGGTCCAATCCCAGTACTACCAAAAAGCAAAAATTTCAGTTTCTCCAGACTTAATAGTGGGCCTCTGTCCAGTGAGACTGGCGATGCCAGGAGGGGATGTCAGAGAGGGGAAGGCACTGGGGACCCACCATTCCCTGTGGAAACTTGCACCGCTGAGCCTCGGTGCCGCCCCTCCCTCGGTGCCTGGCCACTCCACATCCTGAGGTGCTCTGGTACAGTGTCTCCCACAGGGGACAGAGTGCTGTCGCCTGCTGCAAGGAGCGAGATGGGGCTCAAGGTTGAATTGCATCTTCTGCAGACTTGGGCTCTGTCTCCACTTGCCCCCTGCCTCAGTCCTGCCCTGACCCTTCCATTCTATCCCAAGCCGTGTCACCGCAAGTCCTCCTTTGGCGCACCCCAGTGCAGATTCTCCCACTCTGCTGTGCCTGGCACGTCCCCTGTGTGATTCCCAGCTGCCTAAACTGTGTTGACCTCATCTCCGCCCCGGCCTCTCCTTTGGGCTCCTTGGGGCAAAAGCCTTTGGGTATGGATTCTGCTTGGTGCGGAAGTCAGCCTGCAGCACTGAACCAGTCCGCAAGAATTTTAATGCCATGGTGTGAGGCCAACATTACACAGCAAGGCAAAGAGATCAGTGTGTAGAACTGTAGGTATGCTAAGTCACAAAGAGGAAAATAACAGACATAAGCAAGGATATAGCTCGGCATAGTGGTACACGCCTGTGATGCCAGCACTCTGGGATGCTGGGGCAGAAAGACTGTAAAAATTTGAGTCTAAGCTGGACCACTTGGCAACATAGTGAGACCTTGTTTCAAAATAAAAAATTAAGCTGGGCATGGTGGTGGCACATGCCTGTAATCGTGGCACTGGGGAGGCTGAGGCAGGAGGATCACTGCAAGTTTGAAGGCATCCTGGGCTACGTAGTGAGTTTAAGGCCAGTCTAAACTACACAGCAAAACCCTGCCTCAAACAAACAAACAAAAAGTAAAAATAAGAAGGGCTGGGGATGTAGTTCAATGTGTAGGCCCTAGGTTGGATCCCCAGTACAGGAAAAGAAAAAAATGAAATCATAATTGGAAATCATAATTTTGGTCAGCTCCTGGCTGCTTCTCATTTTCCACTTTCCCCACAGTAAGCATGGAGTCCTTAGGGTCGTGAGGGGGAAGTCAAGCTTCATTTTAAGAACTGGTGATGCAGGGGTAGAACTGACTGAGGTCTAGGGAGGAGGGGTGTCCATGTCTGTCAGTCACCTGAAACCAGAGTTGTGTGGCCCCTTGGGGACATCTCCCTCAGCCAAGGCCCTGCCCTCTGCCCCCTGGCCAGCACCCGCCGCCCTGTGTTCTTTCCCCAGAGCTACCTGAAGAAGCAGGTCGAGCCGCTCTTTGATCACTTCAAAATCCTTACCAAGAACTGGACGGAGCGGCCCCTGACGCTGATGGAGCAGTGAGTGGCGGTGGGTTGGGAGGTGACAGGTGACTCGGGGAGCGAGAGCTCCCCTGGCCGTGTTCCCTCCGGAGCCCTCAGTGCCCGCTCCCTGCAGGGTCTGGGGACCATCTGGCCTCTATGCAGAGACCCAGACAGAAACTCCGGGTCCCCCACCAGCTTGAGGTCAGAGGGCTTCCCTCAGGAGCCAGTGCGAGCTCCTTCCCCTGGGTCCCCAGGCTGCTTTTGGGGCCAAGACATGAAGCAAGTAGGGGAGCCTCAGAAGATGGGGGCCACAGGGCCTTGGATGGGGCTGGCCCCAAGCACCTGGCAGGAGTCAGGCTAGCTGTGCTCATCACATGTCCCCGGGGCAGGTACAACGAGGTTAACGCCATCAGCACCGCCTGCTCAAGTGGGCTCAAGGCGTGTAAGACACTGGTCACAGAGCTTTTCCACCAGTGGATGGATAACCCCCAGCAGAACCTGTGAGTGGCCTCCGCTGTCCCTCAGGCGGAATCGGGAACCCCTGAGCGCTGGTCTCAGCAGCCCCATCTCACCTGCCCTGATGCCCTCTCTGCACACCAGGATCCACCCCAACCTGCGCTCCACTGTCTACTGCAACGCCATTGCCGAGGGCAGCGAGGTTGAGTGGGACTTTGCCTGGGAACAGTTTCGCAACGCCACCCTGGTCAACGAGGCTGACAAGCTTCGGTCGGGCCTGGCCTGCAGCAACCAGGTGTGGATCCTGAACAGGTGAGGACCCTTTGAGAACCTCATGGGCATCATAGGCACACAGGGAACCTGCTTCAGGACTGTTTTCCCCTCAGAGAAGGAAATGGAGCCTCCGAGAAGACAAGAATTTGCCCAAAGTCTGCAGCCAGGATTTGAACCCAGGTGTAGGCCCACATCCTGTGCTCTTTTATTTATTTATCTTGTGGTACTAATGATTGAACCCAGGGCTTTTGCACTGAAATACATCCCCAGCTCTGTTTTATTTTTTATTTTCAGATGAGGTCCATCTATTTTCAGCTCACTAAGCTCAGGCTGGGCTCAAATGTGCAGTCCTCCTGCCTCAGCCTCCTAGAGTGCTGGATTACTGGCTCGCACCACCACACCTGGCTCATGCTCTATGCCTTTAGCTGCTGTGGCCCCTTAGCCAGTGCCTGATAGCTCACTTCTCTCTCCACCAAGAGCTCAGGCATGGCTGGTCCTCAGTCCTGGACATCCAAGCCCTTGGATAGGGCTCCTTGCTCTCCCTCTGTGCCTTGTGTGTCATAACCTGGACCCCAGTAAAGAAGAGTCCCCTTGGATTTTGGTGTAACTCAGTGGTGGAGCACTTGCCTAGCGTGTGCAAGGGCCTGCATTCAATTCCCAGTACCACTAAAAAAAAAAAAAAAAGAGAGAGAGGAGAAAGCCATCAAAGATAGCCAGGCATAGTGATGTATCTCTGTCACTCTGTCATCTCAGTGCTCTGGGAGGCTGAGCAAGAAGATCCCAAGTTCAAGCTCAGCCTGGGCAACTTAGAGACCTCGAAAGACCTTGTCTCAAAGAATAAAAAAATGGCTGGAGATGTATGCAAAGGCCCTAGGTTCAATCTCCAGTACTGCAATTTAAAAAAAAAAGGAGAAGGAGCCACCTTCAATGTAAATTGAGACATGGAGCAGCCACCCTAGCTGACGCCAGGGCCGGGACATTTCCGTGTCAGACCCACTTTTGGCCTAGCATTGACCCTGTGAGCTCGCTTAGGTGACTCAGTCTCCTATCTGCAGAGGGAGGTAGGACCAAGGGGCCCCTCAGCCCTCGGCCTGCCAGGACGCAGGAGGAGGCGCAGAGTCTGTCCCCTCGGCTTCCGCGTCCTCCTGCACCCTGAGTGGTGCTGAGCGTCCCAGCTTGCTGCCTCACAGGTACCTGGGCTACACCCTGAACTCCACGCTCATCCGGAGGCAGGATGCCACCTCCACCATCATCAGCATCACCAGCAACGTGGTGGGGCAGTCGCTGGTCTGGGACTTCGTGCGCAGCAACTGGAAGAGGCTGTTTGAGGAGTGAGTGCAGAGGGGGCACTGGGCGGCCTGTGTGTGCCTCCCTGCCTGGGACAAGATGACGCTCACCAAGCTGGGGCCCAGGGGCAGTGTGGGAAGGCTAGGGGGAGGTGTGGGCGTCCTGGGCCCTCTTGGAGAAGGTAGGGGTGCCCTCTGGGGAGAGGGGATCCTGGGCGCTGCCATTGGTCCTGTGTTTGCGTCCCAACTCCGCCACGGCCTGGTGGTGTCTGCTGGGTGTGTCCTCTCTCTCCCCTGTGTCCATGTGGCCTTGAGAGTGGCTGTGACGGTCGGGGTCTCCCGCAGACTGCTATGCATTGGTTCCCAAACCCCTCACTGAGTCTCTTTCCCCACCCTGCAGCTTTGGTGGTGGCTCTTTCTCTTTCGCCAACCTCATCCAAGGAGTGACCCGGCGGTTCTCCTCCGAGTTCGAGCTGCAGCAGGTGAGAGGCGCCTTCCCAGCCTGAGATGGCCCCAGGGAGCACAGGCTGAGTTGCAAGGCTTTGCAAATGTTGGCAATTCCCTTAGAGAAGATGTATCTTCTTTTTTACCTTTGAGACAGGGTCTCACTTTGTAGCTGAGAAGATGTATCTCGGACCCGGCCCAGCACTGACTGGGAATTGAGCCAAGGGCCTTCACATTGAGCTACATACATCCCACGCCCGACCCTTTATAGTTTTGTTTTTACTTTGAGTCAGGGTCTCCCTAATTTGCTGAGTTGCCTAGGCTGGGCTCAAACTTGCAATCCTCTTACCTCAGCCTCCCTGAGCGCTGGGATTACAGACATGTACCACCATGCCTGGCTCTTTACCTCTTTTAAAATTGGGTTACCTTTTTATTGAATTGGAAGGTTTTTAAAAAAATATAGGGCCAGGATGTACCTCAGTGGCACCGTGCCTGCCTGGCAAGTGCAAGGTCCTGAGTTCTATTCCCAGTACAGGAAAAAAAAAAACCAACAGGGTGTGGTGACACATCTATAATTCCAGCCCTTGGGAGGCTGAGGCAGGAGGATCACTGCAAGTTTGAGGCCAGCCTGACCTCAAAGAAGACCCTGTCTCAAAAAATATATATATTATCGATATTATATATTTAATATAGATACACACACACACACACACACACACACACACACACACATGTTCTTTGGGCCTTGAACTCACTGTGTAGCCCAAACTGACCTTGAACTTGCAGTGATCTCCTGACTCAGCTTCATCAGTGCTGGGATTTTGCAGGCCTTTGCCACCACGCCCAGCTAGCATAGCAGTTTTGTATTTCCTTTGTCAAATTTATTCCTAAATCTTTTATTCTTTTTGATGCTATTACTGTCAAGGGAATTTTTTTTCACTTTCATTTTCAGGATTTTTGTCGCTAGTGTATAGGAAGATAGTTCATATATAAAATCCTATACTGCTATTAAGATTAAAGTCTGACATCATAAAGGATGCAGGTGGCTGAACAGATGAACAGATACTTAGGGCAAGGTATCCACCTT